AAAAAAAAAAAAAACCGGGAAGTCGTCAATTATTAGCGGCTTGCAAAAGTGGTGCAATTATTGGCTTGAGACACGTGCCTGGATTCTGGCTCGTGACACAACCAACATTCACCATCTTGTCGTACTTGGATTCAAAAGATAAAGTACTGTACAGTACCGTGCTTCCATTCTTGCCATAAAAAAGTAAGACAGATTTAAAAAAAAAATTGCACTAAAAATCCAGGCTGATTCTTGCAATTGATAAGCTTTCAAGTGCACGAATCTGTCGCTAAAACATGATTTTTTCATTTTGAATAAAAATCACGTCTAGAATTCAAGGAACAATTGTTTTTCAGTTGAAGAACACAAGAGTTGAAATCCTGATATTTAAAGACATTTCTTTGAAATTAAGCAGGCAGCAACATAAATCTCAGCAGAATCCGTCAACAGACTCATATGTTTAAAAGAAGTCGTGCATTCGCAAACAAGATTCAGCATTCATTTTTTCAGATTCCCAAAAATACGGTACTCACACAAATACTCGTGCTATATATAGCGAATATTTATTTCATTTGACATGATCCAGACAGGTCACAAAGATACGAATCAAGTTTAAGGCTAGCAATCAAATGGTTAGAAGAAAAAAAAAAAACAGCGACAGGGAATGAACTGAAGTAATCCGAGAATTTCATTTTGCGTCACGATCGGCTTCCATGGAGCAATTAAAGCGAGTGACGTGACAAAACCCGGTTTCCGAAGCCTTGTGAGGTTCGATGACGCACTAACTAAGCACAAAAGGTTTCATCAGATAGGATGAGGTATATACTACACAAATCCTAATCAAGAGCAAAAAGTGGGCACAATATATACAGTCAAACACCGATTTTGTGCAACCATCCATCCCAGGACATTTTGTGGCCCTAACTCGGGGGTGTAGTGAAAACAAATTTTCTTGATGAAAGTATTTTCACTAGAAATTATTCTCCTCCTTGTATATAGAGATGTGAGCCTTACAAATGGGATAAAAAGTGTTTTATTTTGATGATTAAATGCATTTTGATGATAAAAAATGCATCAAGTTAAAATCATTTTGTTTATATTGAAACATAGAATTTATTTTTCAATGAACATATCTCATATACAGTGAGACCCCCACATGCAGACACCTTGACCTGTGGACAATTTGACATAGGGATGCTTATTTTCCCAGAAAAAATTAAAAAAAGGCCAAGCATGAGGACACTGACTCAACATAGGGACATTTTGTGATAAAA